CAGGAAAACGACGGGTAGCCTTGCTGAACGGTCCTCTTCTCTGGAGAGTGAGTAGCTCAGTAGTGCTTCAGGAGACCACGGAGGTCTGGGGTCACCGCCAGGAGCAGAGCTGAAGGATGCAGCAGGTCACCCTGGAACTGAGTTTGATCAACTCTTTTAACCAAACAGAACCAAGCCGGTTCCCGAATGGACACACCAGTTTCTGTCCTGACCTCAAGACTTCTGAATATTTATTTAAATTGGTAAATCGCCAGTATTGTGAAGTTTCTACAACCCCCCAAAGCGCTTCACAACACAGTCAGTCGTCCATCCATTCATACGCTGATAATGATGAGCTACTATGTGGCTACAGCTGCCATGGGGCGCACTGACTGAAGCAAGACTACTGACCACCACCAGCAGGCAGGGCCGGTAAAGTGTCTTGCCCAAGGACACAACAGCAGCATTCTGTGGCGACAACCGAGATTGAACCTGCAACCTGGACAGCCCGCTCTACCTCCCGAGCTACTGCCATCCTGATGAGACAACTTTTAGACATCAAAGGGTGTTACAGAAAGTTCAACTGAACTACGAGTCCAGTTAGTTGGGAGCAACTTTGACTCTCAATGATGGGGAGACGGTGGAAGTGGGGTGCACACCTTGTAACCGGAAAGTTGCAGGTTTGCATCCCATCTGTAGCAGTCGTGGTGTCCTTGGGGAAGACACTTGACCCGGTTTGGCTGCTGGTGGTGGTCAGAGGGACCAGCAGCCACCAGCAGCCTCGCCTCCGATGGTGCGCCCAGCTACAGTGTAGCTCATCATCACCAGGGTGTAAATGACTAGTTAGCTGTAAAGCACCTTGGGAGGTTGTAGAACTCTGAAAGGCTCTGTCTAAGTACTGGCTATTCATTTAAGATGTTTTATTCTTGTTTTGTTTGAACAAATATCCAAAACCCGGTGGAAAGTATTCATTTTTAATCATGTATTGATTGTAACCTCAGAACACATCTATTTGCCATAAACTTGGCCCTGTCTCCAAGCGCAGGGCCACAGATCTAGTGACAACAAAACAACCAGCCTCGCTCGGGCCCAGAGGCCTGGTGGCAGAACCTGGTGTTGGTTCTGAACAATCCATGCTGGATCAGCATGCCACTAACACGTAAAATAAACAATAAAGGTGAATTTCAAAGGTTTTTTATTTAACTCGGATGTATTTGCTTTTAGCTCAGCTCAACATGGTGTGTTGACAGTTTACATTCCAGACATTCCAGGATAGCGGGTGAAGCTTCGGATGTGGATCTCCATCTGGTCCCAGTGAACCAGGAAAAAAGCAACAAACCTGCTGATTTTACAAGCCAGACATCATTCCATAAGGGGCGTTTTAGTTTCCCCTGCTTGATGATTATTGTTGGTAGAAAATGTTCATTTGCAAGATTAATGTAATTCTAATTCTTTCAATTTGCATAATGGCCCTTTGCAATCTATCTGAAGTCACTTAGAGGCAATGAAGCAATTGGCTCAGCCGTTGTGCTGCATAATTTTCCCATTTCCACTGATGGCCTTGGTTGGCATGCATTGTAATGGGACATCTTATTAGTGATTAAAATGTTTACCGCTCCATGGGGGGTGCAGATTCAGGCAACAGGCCACCCACTGAGTCATAATAAAGCTGATATATTTCTAAACACACACTATATGAAACGGAGACTTCTGGGAAACCATAAAGATGGACGTTTACTGGGAAATCTGCAAGCAATCAGACAAACCAATAACATCAATGTGTTTCCATCAGCAGCCGTCTCAGCTGTTCAGGGGTGGACTGGGACCAAAATTCGGCCCTGGAATTATTACGAATCGTCGGCCCTTCCCATTGGAAGAGCGATGGGGGTGGGGGGTGTTGCCGCTCGCGGACTCGTCTCTAGGCCAAATGTGAGATCTAATATGGACTGGGAATGTTAAAATTCCAAGCAGGGCCAGACCGCTGCGACCGGGAGCCCTGGCCTTCCAGATCAGCTCATTCTCCACGGGCGGAGATCAGCGGGACATTAGCTACATGCTAACGCGGTAAAACAACTCCTACGTCATCGCTCCACCGCATTTTTCTTGCCAAAAATGCCTGGAAAAGTCTGTTAACTTTGGGTTACCATGTAGCTGATCTTCTGCAGATCACCAACTGTGGGGTAGTGTCGGACCAAGCTGGGCTAGCAGCCCACTTGGCTAAGCGGCCCACCGGGACAGTGCCAGTCCACCCCTGCAGCTGTTTCCCAAAAGCAACAGAAATTAAAGCAACATTCTTTTTCTAGATCCTTCCTGATCTTTACTTCACTAACATGATGTATGCCACCCACCATCCATCACAAGAGTGTCTGCTGTGTCGTTCCAGGTGCACACAAAAGATTACTAAAAGTATTTATGAAGATTGGTGGCTACTTAAAATTATTTTAAAAAAACTTTCTTTAATGACCTGAGAGTGGTGATTTGTGTCTTGTTTCAACGCAGCAGCTTATTTGGAGGCTGCTGTTGGACAACCGGTACTAAACGGGACACGGACGGTGCTGCATTCTCCTTACTGACAAGCTAAGAAACAAAATACAAACTCAGCACTTTGTTTTCAATAATTTGTGGGTTTGGTGCATGTTCACTGCTCTGCAGTCCACAGTATCAAAGATATTGATGATTAAATTGTGAATTATAGATTCACGTTTCCCTTTAAAACACCTGTTGGGACAGATTGTTAGATGTCTACTCTTTATGACACCTTAAGGAGGCGCTTAGTGTTACGCACATAAAGCTGGAATTTACACCAAAAAGCCACATAAGCAAGCTAAAAAAATGCAAGGTCCAAATGCCTTCCTTCAGGCTTCTTGGTAACACACTGGACTGTCTTGGTCTGATTTGCAGAGACAAAAAGGCATGCTGCCTGTAGAATGTGACCTGTAGCCAATCAGAAAGTGAGGTGACATTCTCCACCCTCCCCTTCCACCATGTTTGTTTATTTGATCTCACGAAATTTCTTGTCTAACCAGGAAATATTTGTGCGTGAATGTAGTTTGTGTGTAATGTCCAAACGTCCTCAGCCCACCTCCCTGGAGAGTAACATACGTCAAGACACACACCTCTGCCAGGACAGACTGTTCACAAACAACACGCCCGCCACCTAAACACATCCCAACAAGAACAAAGCCAAACTCTAGGGTTAGGGTTAGGGTTAGGAACACATACAACTTCTTACATTTAACCCGCAAGCAGATCAGAACTTTCAGTCTGTTACATTCGACAGCCTGACTCTGGCTTCACTTCCTGTCCAGCTGCTCCAGCTGTGTAGATGGGGGGGGAGGGGCGGTCGTAGGGCAGTTTAATGGATAGATCATGATCTAATCATTCAGAACCCGACGCTCACATTGATTGAATGAGATTTTTCCAAGATTACACTAATTCACATTGATGATAAAACATTGAATCTGTTCTAACCCAGAAGCTATTCCAGTAAAACATCCAACAACCACAAATCAGACTTGTTTTAGTAAACTGGTGCATGCTTCGTTTAACAATTAGAATGAGACGTTCTTAACTTCCAGTCTTACAAAGACGATTTAGACGTCGCTTGGAAACGTCCGATTGTGAAAGGTGAAAGGTCATATGAAGGCACCTCTCCAAGGCTGAGTTCACTTAGGAGCTTCCCAATAATCGGTCCGAACTTGAAGCCGTGACCTAGAGAGGAAAGATTTTTGATGTTTTGAGACAAGTTTTGACACCAAGTTGTTTCTGCTACAAACGAAACAGGAATCATACTGAGTGGACGATGCTGCCCTTTGTCAGAATAAAAATTTCAAAGAAATTTAGAGCTTCAATCAATCAATCAATCAATCAAAGCTTTATTTATAAAGCGCCTTCCGCAACCCTGTCAGGAAGCCCAAAGCGCTGAAAGTCACTTAGACTCTCAACAAGTCAATCATTTAAATAATGCTGCCCTCATTTTATCATTCCCTTAGAAATGAAACATTTTAGACATTTTTAACATAGTGTTGTATTTATTTGCACAAGCTACAAATAAATGTGGAAAATCTTGGAGAAAATAAACAAAATGTAAAACAAGGTCTGAAGGGCCCTTGGTCTTCCATTTCATCAACACAAAACAATTATTAGGATTAAATAATTTGTGTGACTCTGTGTGAGGTTGTACATGTCTGGCAAGTCTGGGTGAGGTTGCATGAATCTGGAGGAGGTTGTGTGAGTTATGAATCCGAGAAGTCTGTGGGTTTGTATGATTCTGGGTGACGTTTTGGGAGGTTTTATGAGTCTGGGGGAAGTTGTGTGACTGTGTGAGGTTGTATGAGTCTGGGCAGTCTAGGTGGGGTTGCATGAGTCTGGGTGAGGTTGTGTGAAGTTATGAGTCTAGTTAATACCTGTGAAGTGTGTGAGAGTGCATGAGTCTGAAGTCTGTGGGACAGTATTAGTCTGGGTGAGGTTGTGTGAGGTTGTATGATTCTGGGTGAAGTTTTGTGAGGTTGTATGAGTCTGTGTAAGGTTGTACACATCTGGGAAGTCTGGGTGACGTTGCATGAATCTGGAGGAGGTTGTGTGAAGTTGAGTCCATGAAGTCTGTGGGTTTGTATGATTCTGGGTGACGTTTTGGCAGGTTTTATGAGTCTGGGGGAAGTTATGTGACTGTGTGAGGTTGTATGAGTCTAGGGAGTCTAGGTGAGGTTGCATGAGTATGGGAGAGGTTGTGTGAAGTTATGAGTCTAGGATGTAAGGGTGAGGTTGTGCAAGATTGAATGAGTCTGTGGGCTTGTATAAGTCTGGGAGGGGTTTTGTGAGTCTCAGAAGTCTGTGTGAGGTTGTATGAGTCTAGGTAGTCTGGGTGAGGGTGTATGACTGCTAGGTTGAGTAAACTTATAAGAGATATAAGGAACCACCTTTCGTCAAGCTTTTTGACAGTCTATTGTTCTTTGACCTTTTGTGATATGACCTTTAATGAACCTGTATGTCAAGAAATGAATTGATGACTGTTGTGTAATGACGCATGAAGTTATTGATTGTAGTCCCCTTTTGTCAAGAAGTATATTGATGATCTGCTTTCATGTATTCAGTCTGCACCACTTTACGTCAAGTTAGGATCGATAACTCTTTGGTGTTAGGAGACCTTACCCTACAGTTCCCACAGCACCTCCCCCACACATTTAAAGCACTTACCCTTTCAGAAAATGCCGGACTCTCTCTAAGACAAGTAAAGAATTTAGGGTTACCAACTCTAAACCATTCAGCATCCATACAGACATCTGTCTCAGCCACACCTCTCCTACCCTCCTCTCCTTATCCTAGTGTTAAATTTTCAACAAAGGGAGTCACCATGCATCCATACAGACAATTGTCACCTCAGCTCGCAATCATTTCACTTACCTAGACAAATCATCGACTTACTTTTGTTCTGTAAATGCATCCAATACATGGGAATCAGTGGTGGGGGTCGTTTCCATGCAACTAACAGCTCATTCTAAGCAGGAGGTATTTGGGTGGACAGACTCAGTTCACCAGATTCAAGACATAAACCAAGCACATTCCATTTAGGTTGGCTTCACATTTAAATGAAGGCACCTTTATTAAAAGGAGACTGAAAATCCACAAGGGCAAAACCCCAACTGGTAATTAACCAAGGTTTGTCTAAAAGACGAACCAAACTAAAGTGACCAAACTAACTGAAATTGTCCAAACTTCAAAAATCCTACCTACTCTCTCTCTCTAGCAGTAAGCACAAAACTGCAAAATGTTTAGACTGAGCCAAGAAGCGCAAGGGAAGAGAACACCAGTTGCTGCTGCAACCCACAAACAATTTCTCTTCCTTGATGAGCTCCAGCTGGCTGCTTTTGAAGGGCCAGCTGATGAGGTAAAACGGCCCAGCTGGCCGTGACTGCTGCCCTGGTGCTGTCCATGGTCCTGGATGAAAGCTGGTTGTTTCCCAAGGGCAGCTGTCCAAGGTGCTGCACACACCTACCACAGCGTCTTAGGCAAGGCTGCTGTTGTACTGGCCTTCTTAGTCCAGTGCTTTAAGTGCCTGCCTTGCATCCTGTGCTCTGGCACACCAACCCCTGGGCTTATTGAGTTTTTTACAAAACATTACTTGTCTAAGACACATCCTGAGCTGGCTGTTGCATGTCTCTCTGTAGACAGGACTCGTAGTTTTTGTGGCAGTGTTTTGTCCCCAATGCAGAAGGAATGTTTCAGAATATCCACGTTTCAGAGCCAAGACCATCAGCTTTAGGCAGAGGAGAAAGGCCGGATGACACGTGGTAAAAATCTCATAAAGGTGGATTTTTCATTATATGGAACCTTTAATAGGACACATCAAAAGAGTCTGGATTGTCCTGAGCGTGGTGTAGGCACTGCTAGGGGTCTCTAGTAGGAACGAATGCCGTGCCAGAGTCATACTCTGGGAAAATAAGCTCCAGCGCACCCGTTTGAGGACACAGAGTCAGCCGAAGGGGAAAGTGGAAGAAGACGACCAAAGAGTCCAGAAGTGGCTGTTTCAGATCAAAGGAGAGATTCAGATGACAGGATGTGGAGTGTTGCTTCCTGATATTTGGACATCTCGCCTCTGACTGGATAACAGCAACACGACCCTACCACTGACTCAGTGTGCTCTGCAACGTTGATGTTTGAAATCCACGAATAACACAAGCCTGGAGAAGTGCTGCTGTGTGGTGTGTATCTGCTAGCTGTGGTGTGTATCTGCTGATTCCTGGACAGCCTTCTCTGTCTCGAATCCATGAATGTTAGGGACAGTGTGATGTAGATCTGTCAGGATTTTCTAATCCTAGAGTTTCACCATCTGTTTCTATCAGAAGCTAATGCAGGAGACAGGTGTAGGAGACTATCTTCATGTTCAGCCTGCATGAAGAACTCAAAGTGACCGATTGCAATCAGAAATAATTATAAAATGGTTTCTCGGTGAACCTGCTCTTGAAAAGGCAGAATCAGACTTGAATGTGCGACACATGGCAGAGAGGAAGTGCCTTATATGGCTGGTGTTGTACCTGAGAATCCTGCTCCGATGACGATGTTGTTGAGGGACGGGTGGTAGTCCAGCACAAAGTGACAGTCAGGAGTGAGCTGCAAAACAAAGCAGTGAAAATCACACCGGCACTGAGCCACCAAACTATTCCTGCAGGTTTAAACCGAGATACAGCAGATCCAGACCTTGCAGATCGAGTACTAGTACGGCAGAGCTGACGTCGGCGTTGATTTGCTCTGGGACTTCTAACTCCAGCCCTAATCTGTGTTGTTGTCTTCTCTTTAATCCATGAGACAACGATAAAGTATCCTCTTCTGATACTTCACTGTAGTGTTATTGAAAAGCTATAGTGTGTCACCAACATTTTAAACATGCCAGTTTAACCCTTTACAACAATTGTTTCATATCTATACATACATACATTTCTAAGTTTATAAGAGCTCTTTGTTTGTTTGTTTGTTTGTTTGTTTGTTGTCATGACAATCATTATCTTATTAAGATTTGTTTTTTGCCTTTAGAAGCTGCTTTATTGAATCATTAACGTGTTTTCTGCCCTCTGGTGGAAGCTAAAGTGTCCAAGTACAAATTATATTTAGCTGTATTGTTGTAAAAGTAAATTATTGTTGTATTAATAGTCAAAAATGTTTTCTGGATATAACTGCATGTGTCAGGCTCTTGAGGATTAACTGTCTCTCTAGGCTGATGCTATCTTTGCACAAGGATGCAGATTTCTCTGAGTCTGGATGGAAGTTGGACTCTGAGACAGAACGAGAACCATGATTACGGGGTTAGATCTGCGTGTCTCTGAGGGAAAGGTAAATCATCTGTAGCTCTGATGAGGCTGTTTATATTGTTTCTTGGGGGGAAGCATGGTGACGGCTTTTGTGAGACTCTTATTTTGATTAATACAGTCAGACAGGATGTGGTGTTCAGTGCTTTTATTGTGACGACCAGAAGTGTGTGGGTTGGTTGTTGGGGGAACGTGACTGCTGTTATGTGAAGTGACGTGGCATTAATAAAAAAGCCTCATGGCCGTCGCCCTCTCTTCATGTGCAGCTTTTCTAGCTAGCATCGTCCTCTCAGGAGCCTCGGTTACACTCACAACCTTCTGGCCCCGTGCGTCCCTCACGTCCGGTACAAACACAGGAGTTCTACAGACAACTGGAACGCTTTCCTTCGAGCTTTGGCGCTGCTAACAACCGGCACAGTTTGTCTCACGTGACGTGAGTTTCCCGCGACAGCATGTGCAGCCAATCACAGTTGCCGTTTGCGTAACGAAGGTGGGACTAGAGGAGAGAACGCCATTTAACCCTTTCTGCACCTCTAGGGTAACGAGACCTTTAATGGCTTGTTGGTTATTAGCAGAGGCATTGAAATGATTGGGTGGAAACTATTTGGTCATCGCTAGATATTGGTGGGGACACGCCTCCTCCGTCCATGCCACACCTACGCCCCTGAAAGCTGAGGACATTTTCTGTGGAAGCTTCGCTCAGCTTTACCCTCTAGAGCTGCTGCTGTCTTGGTAAATAATATAGTTCACTGAATTAAAGGGTCATTAGATGATAATAATAATAATAATAATAACTAGCTTGCTAAAGTTCCACTCACAAGTCGTGAGGAGGCTCTAAAACAAACTCGATGCTGTTTGAGCGGGGCTCAGAAATCACGTTTTCCTGCATAAAAACTTCATTCAGGCTGATTAAACCAGCACTGGAATACAATTAAAGAATCAGGACTGAAGCAGTAGCCATCAGGTGCTCGGGTAGGAAGACCCGCTGACATACTCGCCAGAGGCCAGAACAGACCAGTTTACACCCCACCCCCATCGGCAGCCCTGCAAGGAGGTAAGCCACACCCAAACACCTCGAGGACGTAGGGCGAGCGCTGCAGCAAGACGATGCAAGGACAAAACATCTGGAAGAATCTCCTCCGGGATAAACAGTTGGGCGTGCGCCTGAGGCAGCAGGAGACAGATGGTGGTGAGACCAAGCCCTTCATGTAAGGAATCATCCGAGGAGAACGGGCGGGCTGGAGGGATGTAACAGCATCTAATGATACCAACACCCAAACAAGCACCAGGGTAATAAAGGTAGAAGTCTCCTGCAGCAGCCCAACCCCAGGACCTGGGACAGAGAGGGAGGACCCACCAGGTTCACCTTCAGGTTCCAGACAGACATGCAGCTGCTGGCAAACCAACCCACAGAGCCACAGAGAACAGGAAGGAGAAGGCAGCAGCTGTTAGATGTGCAAGACGAAGCTAAAGAGCTAAGAGATGGCCACAGGAACAGCTGGGTGCCAGTACAAAGGATGTAGCATGAAACTCACTTCTGTTGCAGCTCCTCTGCATTTTAACAGATGAAGTGTTGAACAGACTAAAGACCTGACAGGCGTTTGTCTTCATCTCTAGTAAACCGTTATGATAAAAGAGACTTTGGACCCTTAGTTGGTTCTGTCACACCAAAAACTTGTTCTATGATATAAAGTAGATAATGTTTCGTTATGTGTATTTGACCCATGTATCTAATCCTGATCTCCATATTGATTAAAATAATGATGGTTTAGATCGGGGGTCTCCAACACCCTAACCCTAACCCTGGAAGCAGCAGCGAGCCGTCCTGCCTGACGGAGAATTGACCAGGGACGGCGGTTTTCTCTGGGAGCGAATCTAAAATCAGCATCTTGTGGAAGTAAAATCAAAATCAGATTTTTGCAGAAATATTTCGGCAAACGTGTTCTACTGAAAATAGGCAGAAAAAGGAAAGGGGTTGCAGCACTGATCCCCGTGTGTACGCGGCTGCAGGCGCAGGTGGATGCCATCGGTTATGCAGACCTGGTTTCATAAGAACATCCTCGGTGAATCACTCTGGGTGACAGTACAGTCCTGTTTGCTGCAGCGGCTCGCTAATGCAGATTAAATGCTGCTCGTTTATGAACAAAGGCTTCCAAACTCTGGACGTCTGCTGTGATTCAGTTTCAGCTGATTGTTCCGTTTTAAACACAAGCGTGAACTCTGCTCTGCCGTCAGAGCCGCAGCTGATCCGGACAAGAAGGAGAACCCTCCTCCAACCTTAATATTGTCAACGATAAACACAGAAAACATCATTTTACCTGCAGTTATGAACTAGTAAACAAAACTTCACTTTCATGAACAAACAACCCAAACAAGCTGCATGGTGGCGCAGTGGTTAGCACTGTTGCCTCGCAGCACCAAGGTTGCAGGTTCGAAACTCGGCTGCGGTCTTCCTGCGTGGAGATGCGTGTTCTCCCCATGCATGCGTGGGTTTCCTCCGGGTACTCCGGTTTCCCCCACAGATCACAACACGCCCTATAGGTTATAGATTGTAAGTCGCTTTGGATAAAAGCGTCTGCTAAATAAATAAACATAAACATATGATCCGAGAAAACAGGAACAAAGGTTATTTCTATTTTTATAGTTCTAATGACTTCAGTGTTTTCATCACATTTAGTTTGTTTTTTTGTCTTCATCTGTATTCATTTATGAGAAAATTAGTTTAGCATTGTTTGGGGAAATTGTCATAGTTACTCGAAGGGGTTTGTATCAAATGCCATGAAATGTTCTTTAAAAGGCATTCTATAGTTTTAGGAAGCGTTTTATCATTTGTGTGCTCAAAGAGTGATGTCACTGATCCATTCTAACAAAGTAAAATCATTCACACAAAGTAGAGTTGTATTTACTTACCTGGAAGTATCCAATAAGTTAAAAAACAAAATGTTTTTAGTTGGATTGTCAGAATGTCCATCGTCCTTGTACTGTTTTTTATAATAGTGATGTATTGAGTACAGAGAGATCAACATGTGAATACCGTGCATGTGCAAGCAGAGCATTTTAACATATATGCATATTCACATGTGGAAAGTATCCATGTGAATAAATGGTATGGCAGTAGAGCTTTCACAGAGTAAAACTCGCTCACGGGCCAACAAAGGCTGGAGACCCCTGGTTTGGATTGTGTTCCACAGTAAAGCAGCACATCAGCTAAAGTGACCTCCACCCTGTTGCCAGCAGCTACCGTGTACATGCAGCTCTCCACCACAGCTGGTACTGGGATCAGACCCGGAAAACAGCGGGCAACGTAACGCTGCAGGATGTCGATATCGGACCTGTCTGTCTGTCGGTCTCTCTGATCCGGGTCGGTGGGGCTGCCCATGTGGTAACATATCTGTAAAAAAGAACATTATTCATTTTAGCCATGAAATCTTTTATTCAGTCAACGTCACTTTCACCGCCAAGCAGCTGCTCCTGAAAGAAAGCAAACTCATTGTTCGGTTTACGCAGAACGTGTGCATCAGGGTAGCTATTATGTGTCTGCTTTACTTAATTCAGTTCTGCCTGCTGCTCCTGCCTCACACTTCAGTCTCACCCAGCAATTAGACCTCCAGTGAGTGTCATGACTCATTTCTCAGCCTTCATTCAGCTCACCTGGTCCCTTCACCAAGCTCCAGACAAGCCCTGTTTCCCTGGCAACCACAATCAACTCCATTCTCCTCACCTGCTCCTGACTCCTCAGCTCATCTCACACACCTGCTTCCCCTGCTATAAAAGAACCATCCACCCTCTGCCACATTATTGAAGACATTTGCCAGCACTCCAACCTCTGCCTGTACCATGGATCCTGACCTCGTTTCTGTTCCTTGACCAACCCAAGTGCCTGCTCCCTGCCCGGATTGTTTTCTCTGCCTCTGACTACCTGGATTCTCCACCTCAGCACATTCTCTGGATTCTAGTGATGTTACCTGTGACACGCAGGATTCGAAGCTTGTATCACCAAAACGAACCACCAGAGCAAAGCACTGTGTCGGAGCTTGATTTGTTTACTGAAAGTCACGTGACCAATGAGCAACGATGCTTCATTCACCCTTCCACCCACGTGACCGCTTCACACGTTGTTTCAAACATTTAAAGCAACGCAAACCGAGAGGCGCAGGTTTATGGCAAGCCAAATGAGCATTTATTCTGATATCAGGCTGTCAGCCAGAATTGTCATGAACATTTAAGCCATTTCTGTCCACTAGTTAACTAGTTAGCCATGTTTGTGTCAACTAGTTAAATAGTGACAGCTTATAGAGCTCCGGGAGTTGACGTCACTTTTCCCAGCATGCAACAGTTCAAATCGAAACGGCGCCATCTTGGCAGGCAGAAGCCGGCAGCTGGACTATTAGTTATTGTCAGAAAACTCAATCAGACAGGAAATATGGTAGATTCCTGTTGTGCCCCAGGATGCAGAACAGACGCAGACGACATAAGGAATGAGCCATCTACAGGATTCCCCAAGATCCGGAGCGCCGCAAATATTGGATCATTGTAATAAAACGCACTAGTGACCGGGCGAAAATGAAGCTGTGGGATCCCGAGAGGAAAGGATTTCGCTTATGCAGCGACCGCTTCATATCAGGTACTTAAACCAACGTTTCCTCAACTGTGTATGGTGTTTATTTTAAATGCTTTTATTATGATTCTTAGTGGGCTTCCTAAACTTATTTTGGTGTGGCTTTTTCTGTCTTATTACTCACAGCAGCAAGTAAACATCACGTAAAACGTTGCCTCGTGAGTTCTGCGTGCTGCCGTTTACGTGTTTTATGATCACAGCAATTAACCGGCTAAGCTGTATTTAATTTTTAAGCAATGGTTGATCAATTGTCAGATCACACACCGAGACTACTTACGTGTAAATCTGTTATTTGTCCGTCCATCCATCCATTTTCATCCGCGTATCCGGAGTCGGGTTGCGGGGGCAGTAGCGTGACTTCCCTCTCCCCAGCCGCCGGAGCCAGCTCCTCTGGGTAAATCCCAAGGGGTTCCCCGGTCAGGTCCGGTGTTGTGCCGGTAAGAAGCCCGCTCCGACAGCTTCTGGCGTCTGAGCGGGCAGTAGAGTCGAGAGTCCCAGACCTTCTCCCTAGCTCCTCCAGCCGGGGGAATCCCAAGGGGTTCCCCCGGCCAGGTCCGGTGTTGTGCCGGTAAGAAGTCCGCTCCGACAGTTTCTGGCATTTTTTAAAAGTATCCCAGGGGCACAGTAAGGGTCGGAGATGTTTAGTCTATTTAATTTCTGACTATATAAAACGATTTCTTCTGTTTTAAAGTGTGAAGTAAACTCAGACGAAGTAAAATCCAAGCGGATCCCGTTCATGTTCATGGTTACATCCGTGTTTGTTTACCTTTTTTGCATGCCAAAATGGCGTCCACTAACTGAGAGTCACGTGGGGTCCGGAGCTCTATATGTCAACTAGTTAACTATTAAGGCCTAAATTCTCTCTAGTTAACTAGTTAAAATGTTTCATATCTTACTAGTTAACTAGTATTGCTCAGTGTGTTCACTAGTTAACTAGTGTGCATTTATGTCTACCACAAGTTAACTAGTGTGCACATTTTGACCCTCACTAGTTAACTAGTGAGACGAATACCTTCAAGTAGCTGACTGGTATGCATTTCTGCTTTTACTAGTTAACTAGTGAGCAGTTTTTGTGTCAACTAGTTAACTACTGAAGCCTAAATGTGTTCACTAGTTAACTAGTGCGCATTTCTGTTGTCACTAGTTAACTAGTGGGCACATTTTCACCCTCGATATTTAACTAGTTGACACAAACATGGCTAACTAGTTAACTAGTGGACAGAAATGGCTTACATGTTCATGACAATTGTGGCTGATATCCTGATATCAGAATAAATGCTTATTTGGCTTGCCATACGGGTTTGTATGACCTGAGATTGACGGTTCAGGATTCAGTATTCAGTGATTTAACACCGAGTCGCAAAAATGGATCCTGTAGCAAAAAGAGGGCGTTCTGAGATGTGGGAATGTTTCAATTTAATCTCTCCAAATAAGGTTTGAAAATGTATTCGGTCTAGTCTAGTAAATTACCTTTATAGTAGTAATACTTGGTGCATATTGTAGGGCTATATCTTTTAGACCGTCTGTCATTTTCCTTTAATTAAATTAAAATCTAGTTTGGTGTGATTTTTCTTCTTTTATTGGTAATTAATATAATAGTTGATGAGCTTTTCAGTTTGGTTGTACGTGTAATGGAATTTAGTATTTCCTATCCTTATGTGAATTTTCTAATCTTCATTTTGTTACTCTATTTCTAAAAAAGATACGTAAATTGAGCTAATTATTCCTGCCTAATAATCCAATAGAAATGTGAAAAGTAAAATATTTGAATATGTAGAGAATGTTAATATGTGTAAATTAGATATATTTCATCACGTATCCCATAAAAATAAACATTGTTTCATTTCAAGTATTCACACCAAGAAAAGCAATTTTAGTATATTTAATGTAATGTTCAAATTCAAGATACTTTTATTATATGATCCTGAGGAAGCTTTTTAATGCTTTATTTGTCCATAAAGTTCAATACACCATTCATTTTCAGTAGAATTGGCTGACAATACAATGAAATACAAACATTAACCAGCAGATGTCCTCCCAGAGTTTTGAACCTTGAACCTTTTTTCAATACAATTGGATTGTAAAGCTTTGTTGGTTCAAAAGGCTTCACATCATCATCACTACTGGATTCTGCCTCCTGCCTGCTCATTGTAGCTTTCACGGATCTATCTGGTTTTGACCCTCGCCTCCTCTCCTACTCTGTCTCCAGCCTCGCCCACCTGGTAACTTCACAATAAATAAAGGACTTATTATTTTATATATTTTTACTGTGTTTGGCATCATTACGGGTCTTCTGAGTTCTGTTCGTGACAGTGAGGGCTTGATCAGCCATTATCCAAGCCCGATGCATGCTGTTCCAGCAGCTGGATCCAATCCTTACCTGCACCAGGTGAGGCGAGGTCTCACCACGAATCACAAGGCCAGCACACAGAAACCCTAACCATAAAACTAATCAAACGTTTTCCTGCATCACAAAAATAACTTTCCACCATAAATGTTACAGTTTGTTAAGAACCAGTGGTTTGTGTCAGAGTGACTGTGGCGTCACCATCTGTTCCTCCTCACGAGTTCACGTTGGCCATCAGCTGACACCAACCTCAGCACCAGCAACATAAATAAAACTTATTAATGAACCCATTTTACAACTAATTTTATTTAGTATTTAAAAACTAGGATCACTGAAAAAGTGTCACTTGTGAAACATGAGTGAATAGTTCCTGTAATAAACTACAGATTTATAGTTTATTACTTTAAAACAAAGATAAATAACCTGATCGTTAATCTGTCCTAAATGTAACGTGATGAAGGAGCTGTTTCAACCAAGATTATTTAATCCTTTCCACAGTCCCTTTGACGCAGCGCCAGTGCATGAAACAGCCTCAAGGTCATGCATTCACTTCTAAACTGTTTACATTCCAGCGATGAAGACAGAAGATGAAGACGGCTTTCTTTTCTTTTATTAAAAGCCAAAGAACTCTATTTTCAATAAAAGCTAATCAAAACAACTGTTAGTCCATAAAAACCATGTGACCGATCTGTGAAATCACAATATTATGATTAATATGTTTTAATAACTAGTTTTCTTGTCTGGGGATTGGACCGCCAAGGCTCCCGCCTTGGTCTGCCACCCGATTCGCATTGCACCGGACCCTTCATGTTCCTCCTGCGGGTGGTGGGTCCACAGTTGGACGAGCCCATGTATCCGGTTCGGGCTGGGCCCGGCCGGGCCCCATGTGCGAAAGCCCGGCCACCAGGCGCTCGCTCACGGGCCCCAACCCCAGGCCTGGCTCCAGGGTGGGACCCCGGTAACCCTCCGGGCCGGGTACTCCGACTCTTTGTTTTAACCGCCATGAAAGATCCTTCGAACCGTTCTTTGTCTCACCCTTCACCTAAGACCAATTTGTCATGGGAGACCCTACCAGGGGCACTAAGTGCCCCAGACAACATAGCTCCTAGGATCATTAGGGCACTCAAACTCCTCCACCACGATAAGGTGACGGTTCAAGGAGGAGCCGGAGCTTGTGGCAGAGGTTGAGCGGTACCGGCTAGATATAGTCGGACTCACCTCGACACATTGCATTGGCTCTGGAACCCGAGACCTGGAGAGGGGTTGGACACTCTACTCTGCTGGAGTTGCTCCGGGTGAGAGGCGGAGGGCTGGGGTTGGCTTTTTGTCAGCCCCGAGACTCTCTGCCTGTGTGTTGGGGTTTACCCCGGGGGACAAGAGGGTAGCTTCCTTGCGCCTTCGGGTCGGGGAACGGGTCCTGACTGTT